ACACCCCTCGAGGCCATTAAACCCCATCATTTCCCTTTTCAGACACCTTAAAACCCCCTTGGAAAATTTCATTACAAAATTCCCCATTTTACCCCTCCATCTACAAAGATTCCAATTCGTACGATCTCGTTGGTTGAGAAAAACCCTAATATTTTGAATTTTAATCTCAGCCCTTGAATCCTCCACATTACACCCCTTGGACTTGCCCTCTCATTGCAAAAAACCCCCTTTTTTGTTTTTTCACTCAAGTCCCTTCACATTTCTAGAAATCACGCCAAAGCCCTTACTAAACTTATAATCAATCCTAGCCTTAGACTTGAGCCCCCCTTGCTTCTCCACCCTAGGATCGGCCTAACCATCATTTAGCACCCCAAAACCCTAGCCATCCTCCTTAAAATTCGGCTAAGCCATTTTCAATTCAAATTTTGAAAACTCCCCCCATTCTAAGCATTCAAGGGAAGGAGAGAAGGAGGAGAAAATCAAGGGAAGTTGTCTCTTTACCTTAAATTCGGTCAAAATGCAAGAGATTAATAAAGAAAGAATCTAGGAAGCCACCATCCCTTAGATTAGGATCGAACCATCCTAGCCTTCCATCTCTTTTGAAAACCATGCCCAAAACCTTAACCTCTCACACTTAAACCCTAACCAAACTCTCCAAATTTGGTCCAAGTTTAACCAAACCCTAAACAAAACCCAATTCAGTTCTAATGGAACTAAACCACCCCCCAAACCAAACTAGGACCCTTCCCACTTCTTTGAACCAAGAAAAACCAAAGAAAACTAAAAAAAATCAAAGAAAAGAGGCCATAAGACCCAAATCCGAACATAACATGGGGGATTTTTTTTTGGACTCTTTTTGAGACTCTTCTCCTTTCTCTAACACTTATACCATTCTCCCTTCTCCCTCTCAAGAACCGAACTACACTCTCCTCCTCTCTCTCTACCTCCTTCCTCCACCACCTAATTCCCTCTTACTCATCTCTTCTCCTTCACACCCAACAACCAAAAACCCTAGCCTCCTTTCTCTCCACCACCAATTGATCATTACCCTCCATCTTCACCCAAGAAACGAGAGAAGAGGAAGAAAGAGCAACACCATTTACTCACACGGTCAAGGGAGAAGAAGAATAAGAGGGAACAAGGAAGAAGTAAGAGGAAGAAGATAGAACCCCCTCCCATTCGGCCAAAGGAAGCAAGGAAGAAGAAGAAAGGAAGAGAAAGCCCTACTCCATTTCGGCCAAGTCAAGGAAGAAAGGAAAGAACAAAACCCCAATTACCTCCAATCAAATTCGGGCTGTCATTCTTTTAGCATTTCAACACCATCAACTTCAACTCATCCCATCTATCACTAATTGTTTGTCAAAAGGCCACAAAGAGGTGAGCTTCTTATCTCATTCTTTTTTACATTTTTTTTCTTGAACACTACTGGAAAATTTCATCTATAGAGGCGATCATAACTGCCTCTAAAAGCTTAAAAAATGCCTCTAAAGGTTATAGGAGGCAGCCAGGTAAGTGCCTCTAAAAGCCCTGCCGTTAAATGTTTTAGAGGCACTTGGTTGAGCATTAGAGGTGGCTTTATAATCCACCTCTAAAATAGACTTTTAGAGGCACATACGACTGCCTCTATTGCACTGACGCTAAAAGTCCTATATAAAGGTAGTTAAAAGTGCCTCTGAAAGTTCAATTTAGAGGCGCATATGAATACCTCTAAATAATTTTGCAACAATTTTATGTGCCTCTAAAAGAAATCTAAGAAAGAAAAAATCTGTATGCTTTAATATTTAGAGGCACTTTTGGCCGCCTCTAAAAAGGTTCCAATTTTTTTTTTTAAAAAGTGCAATATATTGTAAATATTACTACATAAAAATTCAAATTGATACACCTATATAAAAATATATTCAAACAAAACATAAAACATGTATGAATATATATGTGTATATATATATATATATTCATAAAATTCCAATTGACTTCCATCATCATTTTAAGAATAAAGACAAAACAAAAAAACAAAAAAAAACACAACATCCAGCCCTCATTATATTCATTCTTCCTTTTGAGCAGATGTCTTCTTTTTTTAACCTATAAATCAAATATAGAGTAGCCTAAAAGAAATTCCTTTTGACATCTCAACAAAAAATGCTCTTTGTAGTCTTAATCAAATCCTTTCTTCCTCTACAACCTGCAACTTAAAAGGGGGCTTCTTTGAGTAAGTGGAAAGGTATTTTAGGCTGAAATGTCTTCTATGTATGAGGTGATGAAAGAAATCCAGAGACTATTTTCAAGCCCCATCGACACATTGAGTTTCCTAGGTTGTTTTGATTTCTTCACCAAACAACCCAACTAGAAATTGACAAAACAAGAGTGGTCTAGAGATAAGTAGATTTCTGATAAATAAGATTCTCATATGGGAAACTTCAGTTTAGCATTAATAAATAGATGCATGAAGTAGAATGCTTAATAGCTGTTATGGTCCTGCGCGTAAGATCTCGTCATGGGTCGGTCCACAGGGAGAAATCCCTGCTTTCCCTTGCGCCTTCCCTTGCGTGCAGACCCTATTGCGGAAACTGAATGGGTGATTTGTCCAAGAGACCACCCGAACTCTCATTTTGGGTGATTTGTCCAAAAGACCACCCGAACTCTCCTCACTCTTTTCTTGACTGGAAAACCGAATACCTTTACTTCAATTCGTAGCTCCTTAAATAGGAGATTACAGAAGGAAACTCCTTATTGGATTCGGCTAGGCTAGGGTAATCCAACTTAAACTCAAACTCCTAATTACCTACTCCTAAGGGTAACACAACTCTTACTTAAGATAAGATAAGGATAAGGGATGAGGAATGGTGTACCTGGCGGCGAGTTGGCGGGCAGAGCTGATGTGGTAAGATAAGTGCGGGCCCACCCTGATGAGCTGTCATGTGGGCCCCGCCCTACTGCTGCTGCCGGCCGGTGCGCACGTCTCGCAGTGCTGCTGTCGTGAGGTGCGTGCTGCTGTCGTGTGGTGCGTGCTGTGCGCTGCCGGCGGTGCGTGTTGCGCGCTGCCGGGCGGTGCGTGCTGCTGCCTATGACTGCGCCGCAGTGCACTGCCGGGCAGTGTGTCCATAACAATAGCATTGCAGGGGAGGCGGTAAACAACACTTATATACGCTTTTCTTTTGTGGACTGGTTAATTGTTTATGCACTGAAGTTGCTGAATTGAAAGACTTGTTCTGTTTTTTAATTGTTAAAACAATTAAATAATAAAATTTTTCAAAGATACAGTGGTTTGTCCAACTTCAGTTTCAGCCATTAAGGATCTCACACCCTCCTTAAAGTCTTAATAAAAGACAACGCAATTATCTTTTCAGTTCATCCCTCTCAGCTGTTATATATCGAATGCCAGACCCTTAAAAAAATTAAAACTAAAATACTGTCATGATACAAACCATTACTCAACCATCTTGGTGGATGAAAACACAGAGCATCTCATCATGATCAGATACAAAGAATTCCAGTTTCGTCGTTTATGCAATATGGATATAGGGAATCTATGCAGAAAACACAGACTGCCTCCTGCCGATTGCCTCTAAAGATAGAAATTCTAGTAGTGAAAATTGAAAGAAAATAAGGATATAGGGAATCTGTGCAGAAAAGTGCCTCGTCCAGCTTAACTTGCAATCAACACCAGATCTTTGTTTGACTAGACAAAATTGTCTCCATGAGAAATTAGAACTTATATGCCCAAATAAAATGAACTTATATATGTGCAATCAACCATGTGTATGTGTAAAGCACACAAACAGGGGTAGATTTATTTGTGAAAAGAACACATGCAAGTTTCCTGAAGGACCAAAACAGCATCTAAAAGACTAGAAGTGCTATTTAACCTGAAATAGTACTGGCATGCCACATTAAGTAAGAGTAAATTACTAAGGATTGAGGGAACATTTGTTTTGGGCTTGTTTTTGAGTTTAAGATGTAAGGGGTTGGCTTAATGGGAGCTGAAAGATATACCTATTTGTTTATCTTTTAACTGAATAAAAAGGTACTTTCGGTTACTGATAAAAAAAGGATCAAGAGAAAACATATGGCCTATGTTGTTCAATTCCGATCATTTACAAAACAAATAAGACATCTAAATCGCATAATAATACAATTTGAAAACATCCATGCATGAATTCCATACTTTATGGAGAGTTTAATTTTTCTTCCAGCCCAGGTAAATAGAGAATGCTTTTATTGATGATTGTTACTTTAAAATTGATTAAAAAAAAGTCGGTTACTTTAGAGTCAATGAATAAATTAACAGATGATGAAATGCAGTATTTCTAAAATCTTTTAGTTAGGTCCATTAAGGGATAAAATTTTGATGTCATAATTTAGGTAAGAAAGATAACTGAGATTCCCCTCATTAGTTTTGCTTAAACTTTGTAGTAAACTAGTATTAGGACTTAAATGCATTAAGTCAGAAATCGTTAGAACTTAAAGCTAGGCCCATCTTGTGAACTAAAGAATGAGAATAAAAATGTAGGATTAAAACAGAATACTTCCTTTCTTGAATTAACTGTTACTAGTTGTATCAGAAATTTCATAATTTTTTTGATCAGCTACCCATGAAAAAATATGTAGTATATTAATAAAAATATTGTTGGTTTATGAGGCATCAGTAATATCTTTCTTTTAAGTTACTGGTTTTATTAAAAGTTGGCTTTCCTCTGGTTCTAGCATCCACTTTTATTCTAAGAGTATAGCCCATCATTCCAAAAGATAGCACATGGGAGGCCCAATGGCCCAGGAGGCTTCCATAGGAAACTTAAGGTACAAAACCCAGAAAGTCAACAGCTTTATATCTCAGGGTCTTACGCACCAGGGTAACCAGGAATTTACATGGGCTAATGGGAACATATTTTGTTCCTAATAGTCCACAGAGCTTTTTGTCTGATAGTTCAACAGTCCACAGAGCATGAAGAGGCAAAAACTTTAAAGTTACAAATAAAGAAGATATTGTTCCAAAATTGTACCATTGCTTTCTTTGAATAGATACTTCTGTAGGTGAATGCAATGTTGGAAATCATTGCACTAATGAAACCAGTCCAGTTGAAAGAAAGTTCAGTCAACAATGCCATAGATACACCTAAAACACAAATCCAATGATCATGTCAGCAAATAAGATATAACCATGCAGGTACTTCATACTTGAACTTATTACCAGCAAGCATCAAGCACAAACCCAAAACTGCCAAAACAAATATTCAAATATTTCAGGCGTGGGGGCAAGAGAAGGGGACCATATAGATGTTTAACTTAGGCGGAAAGAAAGGAACAATGTGAAGATGCCACAAAGTTACCAATAACAACAGGGGCCAATGATAGCCATAAGGCTAATGGAATCCGGTGGCCTAAAATTAACTGTGAAGCAACAGCATTGAAAAGGGCTCTAGCGCTGCATAACAAAATGAAAAAGGTGTCGGTAAGGGCCTAAAAAGAATACTATGTAGGGAGCAACATGAAATTGTCAAGTTACCATCCCACACTTGCCATGTTTCTATTTTTTGACCATTTAATTATCATCTATAAGAAAAAACAGATGGACAGGAAGCATTGGTTCTAATAAGTAAAGACTAAAAGAGTATATGTGATCATTTACAGGTTGAATAACATAATACGAAACAGTGAGTTGTAATTCAAGAAACAGATCCAGTCAATTAATTAAGGAAATTGGAGAGTAAGTTCTAACTATTAGTAGCACCTAGCAAGCCTAGCAAGAGTACTGCTTTCAAACCTCTGACAAGTGAATCCTAAATGGAACTTTGAAGAAGATAGATTCATGATAACAACACAGTTACTACTGAAGTTTGTTAAATTATGAAGCAATAGAAAAAAGTAGGAACATTTATTAACAAAATGATAGCTAGGCTGATCTTGAGGACCATCACTTGGAATTGGTCCCTAGACTCCCTTCCATTCCCAATGCATAATTTGGTTCATCTAGACATTAAGGGCCAGCTTTAGAGCATGGTCATTCAGACAAGAGTATCATTTCCCACCCCTAGGAGGGGGATCCCCAAAGTTCTGGTTCCCTCAGTCAATTTGTTTGAGAATATAACACAATGCCAACTGCTAAGCAAAGAACAATTTAAAATAAGTAGATTAAACTTTAGTTCTAGGTCATTAGGTGGTAAGAATCCTATAAAAATACAGTACATGATAAAGTAGGCCCACCTCTAGAACATCCAAGTGGAAAAAGTATACTTGTAAATGACAAGTACTTCCATCTATTATGTGCAAATCGAATCATGGACTCCCTGACAAACAACTTAGTAGCATATGAATGAAAGATGTTTACTTAATTGAGGGAGATTTACTTTCTTCAGCCCTATATACCTTTGATTGTGTGTACAAGAAACAGCAACAGCTGCAAATGAGACATTTGACATTACATGTCCAAGGGCATGGCAGAAAGCAACCGGCACGAAGAGTGCTAAGAGATCCTTATCAATTGGCTGTTTAAACAGAAACAGTAATAACCCATTTATTTAAACCATATCTTAAGGAAATGTAACTGCAATTCTTGGGTGTAAAAACTTACAGCATGTTTTGGCAGGCCAATAGCCCATCTTACAAGAAAGTACCCTACTCCAACTAGTAGATGCACAACAGAAACAAAGCTACAGGAGGAGAAAGAATAAGGAGAAAATTGTTACTTAACTTTTTCTTTTGGCTTTATGGGGCTACACAGTTGGGGGTAGCCCACCCCCTCCCCTGTACCCATACCTCCCCCCCCCCAAACCCCGGTGGCAGAGTCTCTACTACAAGTCTACAACTAGTGAGAGAACCCACCAACTAAGCCATTCTAGTAGTGTGAATCCAACTAACTCAAAGAATAAATTTTCGCCTCTATCCACATTGCTAGTTTAGGCCTTCCAAATGCGATGTCATACTTCTTTACTTCCAACAAGAAGGGCTGAAATCTTTCAATAAATGGAGCATAGGCTATGTCCACCTGAAGTTAGACATTTTCAGTTACAAATCAGAGTTCAACACAAAACAAGAGAATCAAACTAAGTTCTACATTTTTTTTACCCAGTCTAAAGCAATATAAAAATCCATACAATGTTTCATAAGATGGGTATGGAGATATTGGTTTATTAATGCTTGATTATAATCAAACCATGATTAGCAGTGTCTGAAAAAAATATGAAAACATGGAAGAAGGGAGACATGTATGGAATATCCACTTACCAGACTGAGCTGTCCAAGGAAGAAAGGCCCATCTTTGTATTTGGAAACAGCAGTTTCTATGTAATCAAGTGCAGTTTCTGATACAGATTACTAGTACATTAGCTTAAGGTTATATACATCCTAATTTTGAAAGATCAGAGCTCAAAAGACTGTAAATTTAAGTCTCACCAACTTCTTTTTGTATATCTTCCATGAATGAAGTTATCACAGTTCTTTTTTTTTTTTTTTTTGATAAATAAGTTATCACAGTTCTATTGAATGTGTCAGTGTAGGACAGCAACTTTCAGCAAACTTTTTCTTCGTTGGATCCTACAGTTTTTTTTTATTTGAGCATAGCCTCTATTAAAAATTTGAAGCTATAGAAAAGGGTTTTCATAAATGGTATCAACATATGTTATCTCAATATCACATTAGTAAAAAGTGGATGTCCTCCGAAGTGACTGTCTATGTATTTAATCAAATCGAGACTCTCTCCTCTGACTTCATTATTATGTTCCAATGATGGCACCTGCAACAAATACAGGAAATATAAAAAGACTTCTCAGCTTAACCCCATCCGTTCCTTTTCCTATATCTAAAGGATTCATGTTTTCAAGCCCACCATGAACGCACTGGTTTTAAGTTATAACTTTTCATGTAATGTAACTAAGTCAAGAATCAATAAGGTTTCAGAAAGAGAGAAACAACAGTCTTATTTAAGTCTAGAAAACGTTGGTAATATCATTATCATGTATGGGTTCAAAGCGTGTCACCTCATTTGCTGGGTAGACCTTCTCCTTGTACCAAGCAGGCCTATTCTGTAAATCAATAGGAATCAGTTGTATCTTCTCCTGCAATCCCTATTTATCGAAAAGTTATAATAGAAAAAGTAAAACTGTAGAGAGAAAAGCTCAGAGAACTATGCCAAATACTTTATTGAAGATCGAGACTCCCAGAAAATTGAACCAATAGAAAACAAATCGTGAAGAGAACCGAGAAATAACCTTGCAATTCATAGTAATCCACACTCGCTGGGCATATGGGCATGTGTAAGATATATACAGCCTTCAAGCAATAAACCCAACATCAGAAAACCAAGAAATAACCTAAAGASGGCAATTTTTCTCCTTAAATATTCAACAAACATTTAAGTCAAGAATAAACTGTAGAAATGAGAAACCAGGGTAGAAAGATAAAAGAATGAATTTAGATACAACCAACCTCGTTGTTCCATCGAACAGAGAAGGTGGAGAGGAGGTAGAATCCAGGGGGAGAAACTCCCGAACGCTTCTGTAACAAGGAAAAAACAGGGAACATTAACCCATCAACCGAAACAATGAGAATAAAGTCGCTGGTTGGTGTCATCAGAGGGCAAAGAAAATTAAATATGAGATGAATACAGAGAGAGAGAGAGGATAGATAGAGATTTACCGGTGATTAGATGCCGTCCGCTGGTTCCGTCCACGAGGGTTGTGAGAAGTTTGAATAAGAGAGAAAAAGAGACGACTGTGGGAGAGAATGAAATACAGAGTGGGCGGGAAGAGGATGAAAATCCGAAGAGGAAGAGGCGCGAGGGAGATATCCAGTCCAAGTGTTGTGCCGACTTGAAACCCAGGTTTTGCTTAGAGCAAGAAAGTGAATAATTGTTCGTCCAAGAGAGAAAAGAGAGGAGAATGAAATGAAAGAGGAAACGGGATTTGCTTTTGAGGGAGAGACTAAGAGATTCGTTCGAGAGAGATTTGGGTGTAGGCGCATAATGGGTTTTGAGTGCCAAACTTAAAATCAGCGACTACTTTTTTTTGTGCGCCAAAATTATACCTCAAGAGGCATTAAAAATTGCCTCTATAATAATCCATTAAAGCTACCTCGTTTAATATGTTATGGAGGCAGATTTTCTTGACTGCCTCCTGCGAGGAGCCTCTAAAAATAGAAATTCTAGTAGTGGAATTTTGTTGGTATGACTATGCATTTTCTAATTTTAGCATGTAACATTTTCACCTAAGTGATATTATGTAATTTTTTTGAATAGTTTTAATGGTGGTGGGGAGATGAGGAATCATTAGAACATTTTGTTAATCACGTTGAACTTTTTTTTCTAACATTGGGGATAACAATTATAAGGGATTTTCACAGGGGATTGAATCAGTTGTGGCTTTTCCTTTTCCATTTGCTTTCTAAGAGTGAGGAGAACCATCGGTAAAAAAGGAGAGTGGCATGTATTTGTCAATTCCTTTGCTCCTTCAAAGGTTTCCCGCACCCGAATTGAGAATGAAAGGGTTAAGTCATTTGAGAGAAGAATCCTCTATGATAACCCCCATCTTTTATGCATAAAATCACTAGCATTTTGTACACTTAATTCTTTATAGATTTTTTTTCCTTTCACTAAATTAGGGAAATTGTACTACTTATTGTGGGAGATGGGTGTCTAATACCTTCCATCTCTCTCCATCCTATAAAGTATTTAGATTATTTTTATTTTTTAGTGTGAGTCATTTATTATTGTTTTCTTGAACATGGAAGACCCATCACTTTTATGTTATTTGTTTTGATGGGTGGCGGCTCCAATCCATTTTTAGCCATGAAGTGAATTTCAAACTCAATATCGATGTTTACAATCAACTTTGAGCTGGGCCTGGGCTTCAGACTTTTTATTAGGGCCGGACTCGGGCACATGTTATAGGCCCATTGGTCGGGCCGGGGTCAGGCATGGGCCTAACAAAATCCTATTTATAAAGAGTAAAAGCCCAGCTCATGAACAGGTCTACCGGTGGCTGAGGTGAGGTGATGAGAAAAGGTTACATTTTGGACTAATTTTGTTCAGAAATTCAACATGAAATGTAAATTTAAAATCAATAGCAATTTCTTTAATTGGGTTCACAAGTTAGTAATCCCGCCACGTTTAAGATTAAACTCGATTGAGTTTAGGCTTTTGAAAGTAAACTTTTCGTAGAGCTTCCTCTCTTTATGAACAGGTACTATTGTGTTGGTGATTGACAAATCCGCTCTATGACCAGACCCAAATAAAATTGAGAACCCCATAGGCAAAATTTCAGAATCATCTATGGTGAAAGCGGATGGAATTATATTCAATAAGATGAGTCATTTGAACTTAGATATCGCATCACAGATCAGGTGGATATTGCAAGTATCCGAAATCGTAGATCACTTGGATATTGCATCCTAGATCAGGTGGAAATCGCAAGTATTTGGAATCACAAATCAGATGATAATCATACCGTAGTCAAAGCCTGGACTTACGAAAAGTGAACCAGAGAGTGTCTGAGATATAGGGAAGAGGGAACTTTGGGTGTTCTGATATGAGAGAGAGAGAGAGATTTGGTGTGAAGCTGTAACTATAAATCTTTATTGTTCATTGGTGGATTTCTTCTCCTTGTAGACGTAGAAACAAAACCACGTAAATCTTTCTATGCGTGCTGTTCTTTCTTCCTATTATATTTCTATTTGCTTGCCAATCGTTTATATTATTCATGTTTTTTTCTTTTGCTTTTGTAAAGACTAGCAAGATATGAGTTCATTAATAAAACAGCTACAGTTAAGGGTGGTCAATAAAAGCAGTACTGTCTTATCGCTTGAATAAAAAAGTACTGCCCACGTCTACCCACAACATAGGATGAGGTGTTCTCTATGTGTGACTGCAATAAACGTCTGCAGGGTTTTTGTGGGGACTCTAATTCTTGGCGAATGTTTAATTCAAAGTATTTTGAACCCAGATTTCTTATTCATTTTTCCTACCCACTTTCTACTCGCCTTGAATTGCAGCCACACATCTTTATTATGAATTGAGAGATGTATGATTGCAATTTAGGGTGGATAGAGTAGGAAATCCCGTTAGCTAGGCAACTCAGAAAACCAGAATTCTCTTCGGCTATGTTCGGTTCGAAGGAAAAGGTAAGAAAAGGAAAGAAAAGTTAAGAAAACCTATACAATGTTTATAAAGGTTTTCTTACCTTTCCCTTTCTTTTCCTACCTTTTCCTTCAAACCAAACACAGCCTTAAGGGCTATATATCAGATAGAACACAGCGAAGAGTAAGGGAGACAGGGGATCATCAAAAGTGAAATGGAAAGTAATACATGCATCGATCCATATGTGTATATTTAGATTTCATGCCTTCTAAAAGCCAATACACGAAGAATGAAACATGAGCTGAACATAAGTATAATATTCCAGGCATATATATAACTATATATCCATTTATTTATTATTTTAACAGTAGATATCTATATAGATAGATACTCGGTCGTTTACCATCTTCTTCCTCCCCAACCGCCCTCCCTCTGGCCGTTGAAGTAAGTGGCAGCAACCGGCAGTCCAAGATTGTAGATCTCAGCGAAGTCTCTGGTGCAGAAATTCTGGCGCCAGCCCGGAGCACCAGTCGTCTGTCTGCCAGATTGCCGGAACAACACGAAGACATACCTGTGAATCCCAACAATTGTTGGACTCGGACCCTCGTAGCTTGTTATCTCCTGGCCTGAAAACAGGAGATCAGAAGCTGCTTTACTTGTGGCTCCATTAAATAAACTAACTATATATGCAGTGGAGCAATCGAGGTGCAAAAGATAGGCTCAGTAGAAATGCACTAGTGGTAGAAAAATGGACGTATTAAGTTATATAGAACTTAAGATAGATGCAAATTTTCATAAATAAAACAGGTTTTTGTTCTCGAGTTCGATGCTTAATTTCACGTGCATTAGATGCATGAGAGAGAGCCCCTTATTAAACGAATGCTAGGTACATTTTCAACGCTTGTTTCACGTACCGAAAGTTGCGTCAGTTCCTTCTGGGATATCAACGACCAGCCTAGAATTTAACAAGAACAAGAAACCAATTAGTACACACAGATATATATATAGAGAGAGAGATAGAGAGAGAGAGTAGAACATAACCAGTGCAAATACTCTCTCATGGTGGGATCACAAGGATTTGGAGCATCAGGGTCGACCATTACCTGCAAAATTATCAGCCCACAGACTGCAGCTAGCAATTCCTACTTGAAAATTAATGGGAGTTTTTGCTTGAATCAAAACAGAAYAAGAAAAAGCATGGATTAAAGTAGGTTAACTATATATATATACTCACGAGTGTGTAAAGTTTTCTTAGGTCATTGCCTCCAATTTCAACTCTAGGCTGGTTAACAACAGC